CCTTACTCCCCCCTCCCCATCCCCCTCCTACTCTTTATCCTGCTCCTCCCGCGACTTCCCAATTTGCTGCCCGGGCCCCACCTGGACATCGCCCAGGCCTCTGGCGGCGTGGAGAGAGCACTGTCCGTGGCGCCCTGGCGCCTCGGCCGCCCCGAGGGCCCCGGGGCCCCCACTCGGTCGACACACCGCGAGCAGCCCCCGCCTGTGGCAGCATCGAGAGCGTCACGGCCTTCACGTCAGGTGTTCATTCCGCGACGTCGGGGGGGACACCCACGCCGTTTTGATCGCAGCGCCCGCGGCCGCACGGCGCGGTCGGAGCCTAGTTTCGCGGGGTCGGTTGCTGCAGGACGAGCTGTGCGCAAGCTGGCGGGGGACAGAAGAGGACGGCCGCGGAGGGCGCGGTCGGAGCCTGCACGGAGTCGGTCGCAGGGGGCGAACTGCGCACGGACGGGCGGGGGGGCAGAAGAGGACGGCCGCGCCGGGGGGAAACGACTGGGGCGGTGCACTCGGGCCATGCATCAGGGGACCGCTGACATGGATTCGGGCGCGTGCATTAGCGACGGGTCCCGTTTCCCTGCGACATCGGCGCGCGTTGTCGCCAAATGAGGCGGCACATGGCCTCGTATGCCGGGGGCCCCTTCCTGGATCCGTGGATCTGGCGCCCTCGCTCCAGGTCCACGGATCCCCAATGCAGGTTAGCGTGCGCCCGGAGTGTAGGTCTTCGTGAGCTGTGTCGAAGCCTCGGGCTCCAGGTTGGAGGGACCAAACCCAAACCCATTCTGTTGGCCGCGGCGCCAGGAAGTGATCAAGATTTGGGCTACGAAGTGGCGAATTGCACACGGGCAAAGGGCAGGAGGAAGCGTCATGCCCCGCAACGCCGTCTGGCGCCCGGGGGAGGAGGAGGAGGAGGAGGAGGAGGAGGAGGAGGAGGAGGAGGAGGAGGAGGAGGAGGAGGAGGAGGAGGAGGGAGGCCGCGGAGAGAAGACTGCGGGGGAGGTGAGCGCCCAGATCGTAAAGGTCTGCACGCAGGCGTGGCGGCCGAGGCTCCCATCGGGAGTCGTGCGAGAGGACCCGGGACACCCACACACGCGGCGCCCCTGATTCCCAGACGTCGGGCGTCTCGAAAAAATCGAGACAAAGGTTTTAACCTCTCGGGGCCCTCGCCGGGCCTCGGGACCGTCAAAAAACGATTCGGGATGCAAATCCGGTCCCGGGGAAGTGGTCGGGAGGTCGGGGGCCCGTGTCCAGAAAAAATCGAGACATCGGATGTCTGGGTTCATGTCGACGCCGTGCACGCCGATCGAAGTGCAGGCCCAGGGAGGCGCACAGGGTGCTGCTGAGAGTTAGGTGCTCGCAGGGCACCCCGAGGCGCGCCTCCTACCCAGATGGTGAACGAGCGGGCGGCAGTGCTTCATCGCCCCTCACAGATGAACCCCTTCGGAGGATCGATGCAGAGGCACGCGGCGGTCAAAATGCCTCGTGAACTTTGACCTCTGACAGCTCGGAATGGGGTTTGGGGCTCCTGGAGTTTCATCTGAGTCACTGAGTGCGGCGGAGGCCTGCATGTTGAAACCGCATCTGTCCTCGGCCACTCTGTGTGCGCAGAGCCTGGCCCGCCTAGGGCCTGGGCACCCGTGAGCTCCGGTGGCAGCTCGCTGCACCACCGCCACCGGAGAAAAGGCCCCTGGGACCAGCCGCCTTCTCGCCTGCTGTGGGCTACATGGGTCCGACGCCATGTCCTGATGGAATCGGGCGGGCGGGCGGGCTCCGTTGCGGAGCGCGAACGACTCCGGCGCGCACTCCCTCGCTGCTCCTCCCCCTGTTCCGCCACCCTCCTCCCTCTCCCGATCATCCCCTTCTGAGGGTGCCCCCCCAGGTTTTGTTTCGATCAGCGGGCGTGATGCCCTTGCCGCTCGGATTGTCCACAGGTGCCGTCCTATCCCATCCTCCCTCCCGGCTCAATCTCTCCCATCTTGTCCTGTCCTGTCTTGCCCTGCCCTGTCCTGTCCTACGCTGCCTTATCCTATCCTATCCTATCCTGCCCTGTCCTCCCTCCCCGGCCATCCTATCCTATCCTACCCTGTCCTCCCTCCCCGCTCAATCCGCAGCCATCTTGGCGCGGCCGTGGGCTTCCATGGCATGGGGCCGCTGGCGGCCCTGGCCCTCGCGGCGGCCTCCGGCCTCTGCCCGGCGGCGGCGGTGGGCGCGCCGCCCCGCCCGAGCGGCACGGCGGTGGCCTCCGTAGGCCGGCTGCGCGTAAGACTGACCCTTCGCTCCGAACCTCTTCACGAACGAAATGGGTACGGAAGGGACGGGTACCATACCCAACAGCAGTGCCTGCTCATTCTGAACTTTTAATCAGGACTCGCTCTCCGCGCCGCCGCGGCCTGTGTCCATATGAGACAGAAGGCCGCCTGTCCAACAGCGGCCGCTGACCCTTCGCTCCAAGACCCCCCGTCATGCAGTGGCGAAGCGTCCTGGGTCATAGGCCCACCAAACAATGTTCTAAGAACCGTTTGTGGCCTGCACTAAGTGTTCTTAAAACAGTTATGGCTGGGACTGTCTTGGTTTAAGAAATTGGGTTTACGTTCTGAGAACATTGGTTTCGTTATCAGAAAATTCTGGGTTCTAAGAACATTTCGTGGTAGCCCTATAGGAATGCCAGGACGGTCGGTCCCTGCTCAAAAGACCCCCTCGCGTAAAGGAAAAAATCGTAACAGGAGGTTTTTCGACATTCTCGGCTTTGGAGGCCCCTACACCAGCCCTCGGGACAGGGTGAAAAACCAGTCCAGGCGGATGGGTGGCCTCCGCAGGCTGGCTTCGCGTGAGAGTGGCCCTTCGCTTGAAGTCCAAGGAGAACAGAAACTTTTGGCGCTCCGCGCGGATTTCTTGGATCCGCGCTGGAACCGGCTCCACGCGCCAGGGAGGGGGGCCCAGCGCGGATCCAGGAAATCCGCGCGGAGCGCCACAAGTTGATGCTTAAGGCGTTTATCATTATTTTCTGTTCTGAAGTTCGCAGAGGGGCAGCGAACGCGATCTGTGCCTCTGGGGCGACGGAGGAGGGGGTAACGCTTGCAGGGTGAGAGCAGACCTAAGCAGCCGAATCGTCGGTAAGAGCAAGCTTGAGATCAGAGCTTCTCGCGGATGGGTGTCCCCCCATGGTGCCCCCCCCCGCAACTTACGCCCTTCGCCGCAGTGACCTGTGGTGCGGGCTCGCAGAGGTCCCCCCAGCACTGGCCGGCACGCGTGGAGTTGGCCCCTTCGCGGCCCCCGAAAGCCGCGCGCCAAAGGCCACTCTTGCCAAGCCCTGAGATCCGACGCATGAACCAAAACACAGCATCGTAAACAAAACCACGCCCAGAGCCCTAGACTCCACACCTTTCCGCGTCCTTTTTGAGCCGCATCGGTCTGCGAGGGCCCCCGCGGGCTCGAAAAGAGGCGAACACGCCCGGCTCGAAAAACTCGCAGCGCCAGGATCTCAGCAAGGGCCCTTTTTCCTACGTGCAGCCCTGCAGGGCCCCCGGTCCAGCCGGCACTGCCGGCCAGCAGCGCACCCCGGGCGCCGCAGCGCGGGCGGCGGCGCCCGCGCAGCGCCGCGGCGGCGGCCGCCGGCGGCGTGCCCCCCGCGGCGGCGGGCGCGCCCGAGGCCTCCCGCGGCGCGGTCTGGCCCGAGGCCTGGCCGGAGGCCGGGCCGCCGCCCGGGCCAGCGCGGGCGGCCGGCGGCGTGCCGCCGGCGCCGCGGGCGGCCGGCAGCGCGGCAGCCGGGCGCAGAGACTCGGCCAGGGCCGTGGCGGCGGGAGCTATGGGGGGGAGGAGGAAGTGCCGATGCCGCTGGCCTGCAGTCGGGCATGTCCTTCTAGAGGGGAGAGATTCAAAAATAGTAGAAGCAAAAAAAGTCTGGGGGCGCTTTTCCTGCTGTTTCGGATCATGTTTGATTCTTTGTTGACTATGTTTTGTTTTCCGCGTCCAAAATCCGACCTGACGATGGCCTTCCCTTAATTTCTTTTTTTTGGAGCCTCCTGGGAGGCCCTCGGTGCCATCGCCGGAGTCGCCCCAGAAGTCTGGTCAGAACGCGCCCCCGGAGAGCTCCGAGGATTAGCGATATCGGTGCCTGTGGGCTTCCCCAGGAGCGGCGGCGGTGGCGCACGCCAGGTCCTCAAGCAGTGCAGTAGTGAAGCGTCCTGACTCGCGTATGGGCCTACTGAAAAATGATCTAAGAGCCTCTTGTGGTTTGCAAGACATGTTCTTAGAACTGTTCTGGCTGGGACCGTCCTGTTTTGGGACATCGGCCTTCTGTTCTGAGTACGTTGTCTTCGGTACCTGGACTTTTCTTTAGATCTGAGAACGTGTCGTGGAGGCTTATACGACTGCTGGGACGGTCGGTCCCTCCCTGCTCAAGGTCCGCCGGCCACGGCTGCGCCGACTCCAACGGCGGGGCGGCGGGCGCGCGCGGCGGCGGGTGTTCGCCCTCCGCCTGCGGCGGCGCCGGCGATGACAGCGACTTCACTGCCGCGGACATGTGCTGCGCCTGCGGCGGCGGCGGCGGGGATGCGGCGCGGGGCGCCAGGCAGGGCTGCCCGTGGTCCGAGTCGATCCGGCCCGACCTCCCAGCCGGTTCCGATTCCGAGCCGATCCGATACCTGATCCTCGATCCCAAACGGCCCGATTCTGATCCGATTCCGCGCCGATTCGGGCGCGATCCGATGTGGGTGTTGCGACCCATCTGGCTCAGGCCTCCGAGGAGTCTGTCTGCGTGCGTGGACACGCACGGGGGGGCCACGAACGAGAACGGGGACCAGTGCGAGGTGGTGGAGATGATGCCGATCCAGTGCGGCTACGTTGGAGCGTACTACGACGACGACGACTTCACCGTGGTTGACATGTGCTGTGCATGTGGCGGCGGGGGGACTGCGATGCCGACTGCGGCTCCGACAGCAACTCCGACGCCTGTTCCGACATCATCTCCGACGCCGATTCCGCCTCCAGCCCCTGAGCCGAGCATGCTTGAGGTGAGTAATTCATGCAGCTCGCTGCAGAGCCTGAATGGATACTACACGAACCAGCCGTTTGGCACCCAGTCTGGCCGCCCGTACTACGTGCACGATTCTGGCGCAATCTACATCTACTACGACCCAGGCTTGACGTGCGACGGGTCCTCCACCTACGAAGGCATGTGGGTGTTCGACAACGAGCCGCCCGACCTCACCGCCACGGACAGTCTCGGCACCGATTGTTATATCAATGCCGTGCATGCGGGAAACGATTTGATTCCACCAATGGGATCGACCTCGTGGATGCTGCATTGCAATGGCGTTTGGACCTCGGTGAATCTGAACATCGAGCTGCCCTCGACGCCAGCGCCTACAGGGACAACGGCAGCCCCGACAGCAACTCCGACGCCTGTTCCGACATCATCTCCGACGCCGATTCCGCCTCCAGCCCCTGGGCCGAGCATGCTTGAGGTGAGTAATTCATGCAGCTCGCTGCAGAGCCTGAATGGATACTACACGAACCAGCCGTTTGGCACCCAGTCTGGCCGCCCGTACTACGTGCACGATTCTGGCGCAATCTACATCTACTACGACCCAGGCTTGACGTGCGACGGGTCCTCCACCTACGAAGGCATGTGGGTGTTCGACAACGAGCCACCCGACCTCACCGCCACGGACAGTCTCGGCACCGATTGTTATATCAATGCCGTGCATGCGGGAAACGATTTGATTCCACCAATGGGATCGACCTCGTGGATGCTGCATTGCAATGGCGTTTGGACCTCGGTGAATCTGAACATCGAGCTGCCCTCGACGCCAGCGCCCACAGGGACAACGGCAGCCCCGACAACAACTCCGACGCCTGTTCCGACATCATCTCCGACGCCGATTCCGCCTCCAGCCCCTGGGCCGAGCATGCTTGAGGTGAGTAATTCATGCAGCTCGCTGCAGAGCCTGAATGGATACTACACGAACCAGCCGTTTGGCACCCAGTCTGGCCGCCCGTACTACGTGCACGATTCTGGCGCAATCTACATCTACTACGACCCAGGCTTGACGTGCGACGGGTCCTCCACCTACGAAGGCATGTGGGTGTTCGACAACGAGCCACCCGACCTCACCGCCACGGACAGTCTCGGCACCGATTGTTTCCTCAATGCCGTGCAGGTGAGCAACGGCTTGGTGCCGCCCATGGGGTCAACCTCGTGGATGTTGCATTGCGATGGCGTTTGGACCTCGGTAAATCTGAACATAGAGCTGCCCTCGACGCCAGCGCCTACAGGGACAACGGCAGCCCCGACAGCAACTCCGACGCTTTTTCCGACATCATCTCCGACTCCGATTCCGACTTTCTCTGCGTGCGTGGACACGCACGGGGGGGCCACGAACGAGAACGGGGACCAGTGCGAGTTGGTGGAGATGATGCCGATCCAGTGCGGCTACGTTGGAGCGTACTACGACGACGACGACTTCACCGTGGTTGACATGTGTTGTGCATGTGGCGGCGGGGGGACTGCGATGCCGACTGCGGCTCCGACAGCAACTCCGACGCATGTTCCGACATCATCTCCGACACCGATTCCGCCTCCAGCCCCTGGGCCGAGCATGCTTGAGGTAAGTAATTCATGCAGCTCGCTGCAGAGCCTGAATGGATACTACACGAAACAGCCGTTTGGCACCCAGTCTGGCCGCCCGTACTACGTGCACGATTCTGGCGCAATCTACATCTACTACGACCCGGGCTTGACGTGCGGCGGGTCCTCCACCTACCAAGCCATGTGGGTGTTCGACAACGAGCCGCCCGACCTCACCGCCACGGACAGTCTCGGCACCGATTGTTTCCTCAATGCCGTGCAGGTGGGAGGCGGTTTGGTGCCACCAATGGGATCGACCTCGTGGATGCTGCATTGCAGCGGCGTTTGGAGTTCGGTGCACCTGAGCATTGACCTGCCCTCGACGCCAGCCCCTTCTGGGCCAACGCCCGCGCCCGCACCAACAACAATCGTTGAGCCCACACCCCAGCCAACTAGTCTGTGCCTCGACACACATGGTGGAGCGACCAACAGATACGAGCAGAGGTGTGAGTTGTTTTCGACCGTGCCAGTCCAATGTTCGATTTCCGAGTTCTATTATGACGACACAGACTTCACGACTGCAGATATGTGTTGCGCTTGTGGCGGGGGGGCAGTTCCGACACCAGCTCCACCTCCGCCGACGACAACCGAGACAAGCACTTTCACGGTGTCGACCCTATCGGAGTCGAGCATCACATCGAAGACGAGCTCTACCGAAACGAGCGGTACGACAGGTTCCACGTCTACGGCGTCGAGCACGACGTGGACCAATTCTACCGGAACGATAAGTACCACGAGGTCTACTTCGACGGCGTCGAGCATCCTGTCGCAGACCAGCAGTACGAAAACGAGCATTACTACTGGGTCCACCCTGACAAGCACCGCGTCCCGAACAAGCACTACGATCACGAGCCGTACCACCGAGTCGAGCACTATCTCACGGACGAGCTCGACCGAAACGAGCAGTACGACGGGTTCCACCTCTACGGAGTCGAGCACCCTGTCGCAGACCAGCAGTACGAAAACGAGCAGCACCGCGTCTCGAACAAGCACTACGGTTACGAGCCGCACCACCGAGTCGAGCACTATCTCACGGGCAACCTCTACAGACACGCAGCCAATTAGTCTGTGCCTCGACACACACGGTGGAGCGACCAACAGATACGAGCAGAGGTGTGAGTTGTTTTCGACCGTGCCAGTCCAATGCTCGATTTCGGATCTTTATTATGACGACACAGACTTCACGACTGCAGATATGTGTTGCGCTTGTGGCGGGGGGGCGGTTCCGACACCAGCTCCACCTTTGCCAACCACAACCGAGACAAGCACTCTCACGAAGTCCACCATTACGAAGTCGAGCACCTCTTCGCAGGCCAGCGTTACACAAACAAGCAGTACCACCCAAACTACCACCCAAACAGGGTCCACGCACACGGACACGAGTAGGACTACGGTGTCCACGACCTCGGTGTCGAGCACCACGTCGCGGACCAGCGCCACCGAAACGAGCAGCACCACAGGGTCCACCTTCACGGAGTCGGGCACCACGTCGCGGACAAGCTCTACGGAAACCAGCACAACAACAAGGACCACTATGTCGGAATCGAGCACAACGTCCCAGACACGCAGTACGGGCACGAGCACAACAACGGTGTCGACTCTCTCGGAGTCGAGCATCACATCGAGGACAAGCTTTACCGAAACAAGCAGTACGACGGGTTCCACCTCTACGGAGTCGAGCGCCACGTGGACCACCTCTACCGGAACGATAAGTACCACGAGGTCTACTTCGACGGCGTCGAGCACCCTGTCGCAGACCAGCAGTACGAAAACGAGCAGTACTACGGGGTCCACCCTGACAAGCACCGCGTCCCGAACAAGCACTACGATCACGAGCCGTACCACCGAGTCGAGCACTACCTCACGGACGAGCTCGACCGAAACGAGCAGTACGACGGGTTCCACCTCTACGGAGTCGAGCGCCACGTGGACCACCTCTACCGGAACGATAAGTACCACGAGGTCTACTTCGACGGCGTCGAGCACCCTGTCGCAGACCAGCAGTACGAAAACGAGCAGTACTACGGGGTCCACCCTGACAAGCACCGCGTCCCGAACAAGCACTACGATCACGAGCCGTACCACCGAGTCGAGCACTACCTCACGGACGAGCTCGACCGAAACGAGCAGTACGACGGGTTCCACCTTTACGGAGTCGAGCACGACGTGGACCACCTCTACCGAAACGATAAGTACCACGAGGTCTACTTCGACGGCGTCGAGCACCCTGTCGCAGACCAGCGGTACGAAAACGAGCAGTACTACGGGGTCCACCCTGACAAGCACCGCGTCCCGAACAAGAACTACGATCACGAGCCGGACCACCGAGTCGAGCACTATCTCACGGACGAGCTCGACCGAAACGAGCATTACGACGGGTTTCACGTCGAGCACGACGTGGACCAGTTCTACCGAAACGGGAAGTGCCACGAGGTCTACTTCTACGGCGTCGAGCACCCTGCCGCAAACCAGCACTGCGACAACGAGCAGCACCACCAGGTCTACGATTTCGCAATCCAGTAGTGAGCCGCCAGCGGCAGCGCCAACAGCATCGCCAACGCTGGATCAGGCCCCACTGCCAACCGCGGCGCCTACGACGGCACCCTCTTCCGCGCCGACAGGTGCCCCACTGCCGGCCCCAACGGCCGTCCCAACGGCAGCTCCAGAGGCCCCCTCGACGGCACCAACCCCCGCGCCCCTTCCAGCGCCACCTGAGCTTCCGACGACAGCCCCAACGGCGGCGCCTGCGCTGGCTCCGACCCCAGCTGCAGCTCTGGTGCCGACCTCGGCTCCGACGACGGGTGCCCCAACGGCAGCACCTCCGGCCTCCGACTTCGCGAGCGAGGCACCGACGGCTTCGCCATCGCCGGACTCGACTCCAGTGCCAGCAGCAGTCCCGACGGACGCTCCCACTGTCGCCCCGACGGACGTTGGCGGCGCGCTCGAGAGCAGGGCGGTTTCTGATTCCTCCGGGCTGGTTCGAATCGATTTCCCAGGGTGCCGATTCGATCCATGCGAACACTCCGATTCACGATTACGGTTTCGGGTCGAGCCAGCTCGACTTCTCGATTCGATGCTGGGGTCCCCTGCAAGGGGGTGGCGCGAGGGGAGGGTGGGCTTTCCAAGAAGCCCAGGGGGCTTCTCGGAAGCCCGCCCGCCTTCCAAGGCGCCTTCTCAGAAGCCTCCAGGCTCTGTTTGGAAGCCCCTCGCCCACTTACAGCGGGCGAACAAAGAGCGGTGTGGCATACATTCTTTCACGAACAGGGGCGCCTATCCTCAGAGCCCCGAATCATCAGGGCTGGGGGCGGTCAAAGATAGCTACAGACTCGCACCTCGGAGGCCCAACCCGGAGTGACCCCGGACCGCAGTTATCCCGGATAATTCGGGCGTCCAATCCTCTCGAGTCATCCGGGCGGGGGGGCAGTCAGGGGTATTTACAGATTCGCGCCTCAGGGGCCGAAACCCGAGGTACCCCGGACCGCAGTTATCCTGGATAATATCCCAGGGTGGCTTAACAGTTCAAACCCTCACCTCGGGGTATGAACGTCCTAGCCGCCCTGGGACCTGCGCCCCCAGCGGCGGCAAAGGTTTCTGCTTCGCCTGTTACTCCCACTCCCTCGCGGCAGAGGTCCTGACTCCCTCCCCGGGAAAAGTTGTTCGTTCCGGATCCGTTTGCGATGACCCCGGGGCCCGAGCCTGGAGGCCGAAATCGAGGAACAACGCCGGGATTGAAAAGGTCACATCCTCGGAGAGCTGGCTACCCCCGCCTCGCGCCACCCGATTTTGACAGATTCGATGTCGGTTTTGTGCCAGCCCGACACGATTCGATTCCGATACCCTGGCGATCCGATGCGGCCCGATGCCTGCATGGCGCTGCGATGCGTCCTGTCGCAGCCGGTCCGATCCGATTCCGACTCCATGCCGATGCACGCTTCGACCCGACGCACATGCCGCTTGGATCCGATTGCCCGATCCGTGTCTGACTGGCCCTGCCCTGGCGCGCGCCGCTGATCTCGAGGACGCCCCCGCGCCCTCGCCGACACCGGCGCCCACGGCCGGGCCAGGCGGAGCCCCAGCGACGGGCGCGCCGACCTCCGCGCCGGCGCCGCCGGCCGAGACGTCCGCACCGACGCCGGCAGTGACGCCGGGCGCGGGCGCGTGGACAATGCTCGTCCGGGCAGCGAAGCGGCGCGACACCGAGCTGCAGGCCCGGGGGCGGCTCTCAGATCGGAGCGTCGCGTGTCTTTGCACACCGGGCGTTGTCGCTGGCGTATTCGGGCTCGGGGATCTCCACAGATCGAGCCAGATCGGAGACCGATTCCGAAAGACGGACTCCAGGGCTCCATCTGCGATGTTTCGCGATGTTGCAATTGTCTCTCAACGCCGGATCTCAGGGGGCGACTGGTCAGGAGCGAAAGAAGGACGTACACGTAGATGAATCCACGCCGGTTTCGAGAGTTCGCATTGCGCGGGTCAAGGGGTGGTGCTCATGTACATAGCTGGGCGCGTACGTCCTTTGTGAGCTCCCTGACTGCTCGCCCCTGCCGCCTTCCCCGCAGCCCCCTCTGGGCTTATCTTCCAGCCTATCTAGGAGAGGATCGGTCTTCGACTACACGTAAAATGTGACCCTTCGCCGGGGGGACCTTTGGTGCAGGCTCATCGGGGTCCCCCCGATCGCTGAGCGCGATGCGATAGCGGTTGTTTGCGCGCTTGGATTTGGCCTTTTTGTGCCCCCTTGGTCCGTTTCCAAGGGTCACTCTTGCCGACCGTCACTCTGCGTGTAGCCGAAAGTTGTATAACAAATGAGATAGTGCCGACTGTCGGCGCGGATTTCTCGGATCGGCGCGGGGTCCCTGCGCCGCACGCCGGGCAGCGGGGTCCAGCGCCGATTCAAGAAGTCCGCGCGGACATCCGACAGTTCCCAGGGGGCCATTTTTCCACCACCCCTACCATAGGTAGGATGGGGGAGAAGGGAGGATGGGGAGGTCCCCCTCGTCCTTCTCCCCCTCCTCACCCTCCTCCTCCTCCTCCTCCTCCTCCTCCTCCTCCTCCTCCTCCTCCTCCTCCTCCTCCTCCTCCTCCTCCTCCTCTTCCTCCTCCCTCTCCTACCTATGGTAGTGGAAGATCGGCCCACCAAGGTCGGCCCCAGGGGGCCACAGTGTGGAGGGGGGCTGCGTGGCAGCGGCAGGGGGGCCAGTCGAGGCCACGGCAGCCCCGCCGGCATTTGTCGTCCTTGTCTGAGGCTCTTGGAGTTTTTTTTTCTCGGTGCCACGGCTGGAGGCGCCTCGAAGAGCGAGGCAGGACGGAGCCCACGGAGGGCCGATTCTGAGCAGGTTTGGCCCGAAGGGAAGGAGCATCGACGACATCATAGCATCATGTTGTATGCAATGATGACATCGAAGGTTGGGGGGCGGGTCGCAGTGGAATGGAGACCCCCAACCGGGAAATCGTTTCGATTCGTTCGTGTCGCGCGTACGGGCGAGGCGAAGTTGCGTGGGCGCGCGAGAGGAATGAACCCGCCGTTGCTAGGGCGAAGTCAAGAACAATGATTCTGCACCGTCCGTCCGTCGGTCCAGCGTTGGCTCGCGGTGTCCCGTGGTGTCCCGTGGTGTCCGCCGCTGCTAGGGCGAAATCAAGACAAGTGATTCTCCCCCGCCCGTCCGTCCGTCCGGCGGTGGCTCGCGGTGTCCCGTGGTGTCCCGTGGTGTCCCGTGGTGTCCGCCGTTGCTAGGGCGAAGTCAAGAACAATGATTCTGCACCGTCCGTCTGTCTGTCCGGCGGTGGCTCGCGGTGTCCTGCAGTGTCCCGTGGTGTCCCGTGGTGTCCCGTTGAGTGAGATCGATAGTGAGATCGATAGTGAGATCGATACTGAGATCGATATTGAGATCGATGTGGTGCCCCGAGGTGTCCCGTGGTGTCCCCAAAAAGGATATCGATAGTGAGATCGACCGGTGTCCCGTGGTGTCCCGTTGAGTGAGATCGATAGTGAGATCGATGTGTTGGCCTGAGGTGTCCCGTGGTGTCCCGTGGTGTCCTATGGCGTCCCGTTGAGTGAGATCGATAGTGCGGGTCGATAGTGAGACCGACAGTGAGATCGAGAGGTGTCCCGCGGTGTCCTGTGGTGGCCCGTGGTGTCCCGTTGAGTGAGATCGATAGTGAGATCGATAGTGAGATCGAGAGGTATCCCGTGGTGTCCCGTGGTGTCCCGTTGAGTGAGATCGGTAGTGAGATCGATTTAGTCAGATGTTGGTTCCCCCCCCCTCGCCCCCCCCCGCCACAACCTCCTTATCACCCGAAGGGTGGTCGTATAGGTATTGTATGCACACCAGTACGACATAATTATGAGCTCGATACTGCGTATTCTGAAATGAACTCACAGTTTCGGGCAAGGCTTTTCCTGATGGGCACTCCGAGCCTGACAGGGCATCGACCCCGAATCGCCTCCTCATCGCCGATGCGGGACCTGATAGCCCACAGCGCCCAGGACCGCGTGGTTTCGCCAGTTTCTGTGGGGCCGATCGTCGATCTGTCGGCGGCATCCCACTGCCTCAAGCTTGAAGTTTCCTGCCCTGAGGCGGCCCCCCTTAACTACCGTTCCCCCTCACGAAGGTCGCTTCGACGAGCGGCTTCGCCGTGATGGACAGCGTCGTCATCGTTGGAGGCGGCAACACGGAGGTCCTGAGAGTGGTCGGCGCCGGGACGGTTCGGGCAGCGGTCTTGGTCGTGGGTTCGGGCGTGACGTTCGCGTACCCAGTCGGCTCAATGATCTACGTCTCCGCAGAGGCTCGAAGAAGAATCAACGACACAGACATCGGTTGTCGGAGGTCATCGCGGATTTCTTGGATCGGCGCTGGATCTCCCTGGGCGGCGCCTCCGCCCTTGCCGCGCTCCGCGCACCAAGGCGGTCCTGTGCCTAGCCAAGAAATCCTCGCGGACCTCCGATGTTGAGATACCTTAGTTTCAGAGGCGGTGCCAGATCCAACGCCAACGCCAGCTCCAACGCTGTCGGTTATCAGAGACGCCTCCGGCAAGTTACCGTGACCCACAGCTAGTTGCGAAAGCGGGGCGCTGCGCTGTCGGGGAGCGACGGGGGTCGACGCGCTTCGAGGGGTGAACCACAGCACTCGACACAAATGACGAAACATTGTGGACGCGCCCCTGCAACGAAGCGCAGCGAGACGCAGTCTCGACGTGCGCGACTTAGAAGTTCCATGACTGAGACGAGGCGCCAACAGATATTTCGCACGAAATGCCAGAGCATTAAATACGCAAGGTAATCGCGTAACGAAATTTGATGGACATTTGGTCAAAGGATTGAAGAACAACTGGCTTCGTACAGGTGATATGGCGAATGTCCGCCAAAAGTTCTTGGATCGATGCTGAATCGGTTGTTCTTGTCCTTTGCAGGACGTGTGTCGGGAATCCCGAGGCGATCGGTTCACAAAGTGTTCGAGATCCGCGGCGGATGCCTTGTGTTGGCGCTGGGCCCCACCCTCCCCTCCCCACCCCCCTGGGGCGGCCGGAGGAAGGCTGACCCCTCCTCTTTCTCCTCCACCTCCTCCTGCTAATTTTGCTCGGTTCCTTTTCAAAATGCGATGTTCTCCTCAGTACCGCGCGTATTCATGTCAACTGCTCCCAGCAGTTCCACGGATGGAGCGAGGACGCGTTTTCAAAAGGTGGGTCCAGTGCCGTGCGCATTCGTCCTCAAACACTTCCATCTCTTGCACGGATGCGGGGTGCAGTTTTCAAATTGTGATTCTGGCCGTACCGCCGCGAGCATTCGTTGAGCCAGAAATTTGAAATTTAACACGGATGGGTGGTTGTTTGTTTCAACTCCGAATGTTCTATTTGAGACCGCTTTTGCCTGCATGATTCGAGACCTGGACTTGCGAAATAACTACAGGGACGGAGGGCGACTCATTGTCAGATCGGGGTATTCGCTTGAGACGGCCTTAGTCCTTTATGGTTGACATCCTAAATTGGAGACGATCTGGACTGATTGGGAGCGGCTCTTGTCCAAAGCGCGCTATCTCTTGGCGTTTCTTACGGTTAGATGATCCTACCTCGTCGCCATCCTTATGGCTCGAAGTATGGATGGCAGCTCCTTTTCAAATTGGGGCGTGCTGCCCCATCCCTCCAGGTGTTCATTGACGGCGGCACAATGTTGTCCGGCGTCTGAGGGATTCGGTTGCGCGCGTTTGCCCTGTTTTTTCTGCTCGACTTGCTCTGCTTCGTCGCCGCGCGCGAGGCCGCGACCGTGCTCGCGTCGTATCGACGCGGCAGCGGCCCCGCCGTTGCCGTTCAAGGTTCAACGCCACCTGTGGCCCCGAATCTGCCGTCACCGAACCATCCGCGCTCTCGTCAAGCCGCCAATCGTTCGAGGTTGAACGATCTACGCGGTGTCAGAAACCAACGCCGAAGTTTTCACGACACAAGCTTGGTTGCCGTATGCAGTTGCTTGAATCTCCATTGGTACGCCCATCCCGTCTGCTGGGAAAGCCACAGGAGGGGCGGCTCGGGCTGTCCTCTCCTCTATCTAGCGAACGATTGTTCGGCTGGAACCCCCCGTCGGTTTGCTCGTGGCCATCTCGCGGCCGAGCTTGGGAACATGGGTCTGGTTTGAATTCAGAAGGCCAGTTGTGATTTCAAAAACCAGATCTTGAAACATGTAAATTTGTTTTGTGACCTACGAAAAAAAACGATCGAGGAGAAGTACAGGACGCCGACCTCAACCTTCAGAGGTCCGCGCGGAGTTCTGGTGTCGGCACCGGGGCCACCCGGGAGGCGCCGCAGGGGCCTCTGGGAGCATGTCTGTGTATAGCCTGACGGAGGTGCAAAAGGTCGAGGTCAGTTCGGGGAGGGTGCCCTCGGATGTTCTCCGTGTTTGCTGGACGTGCCGGTGCATCCTGGGGAGGGGACTCTTGGATGTTCTGTTTGCTTTGGCCAGCGGAGGGTCACATGTTCTTGAGAGATGATTTTGTGGCCGAGGTCCGAAGGAACCTTTTCGTGGGGGAGGAGCTCCGTGTTCCTTAATTGCTTTACAGCTTCACCCCTTGGGCTCTCTATAGGAAGTTGAGGATTAACTAATGGAAAAAAGGGGCCTCGTTCCTTATTTAGGGTTCGTTGTGACAGCGGCATTGCTGGAGCCCCCTGCAGTTGCGGATAAGAGTCAAGGGGTGGCTGGGGGTCGTCGGCATCTGGCGAGGCTCTTGAGAAGCCCACCGCAGGCGCCGATTTTTAACAAACTATACGACGGGGCCGCTGCAGGCGATGATTTTTCGTCAGAGCAATGTGTGTGGGTCGCGGGTGGGTCGCGGGTGGGTGGCGGGGTGGGTCGCAGGGTGTGTCGCGGTGTGGGTCACAGGTGGGTCGCGGACGAGGACGGCGACAACAACACCACAACAATAACAAGAACATCAACAACGCAATAACGCAACAACAATCCGCACCGCGGAACCCCACCTCAGCCTCGCGCCCAGGAGCAATGAATGGCCGTTCGGCACCATCACTCTAATATAGGTTTGTTCCCAACCATCCTGTGGTGTTGGGTCCTCGTTTTGAAGAGACAGCGCCCCGCGTTCACTCCTCCTCCTCCCGCTGCCCCCTCCCTCCTGCCATCATCATCATCATCATCATCATCATCATCATCATCATCATCATCATCATCATCATCATCATCATCATCATCATCATCATCATCATCATCATCATCATCATCATCATCATCATCATCATCATCATCATCATCATCATCATCATCATCATCATCATCATCATCATCATCATCATCATCATCATCATCGCATGCGTTTCACCCACCCAGTACAGCGTTCCGTAGCCCCATAGGAGCTCCACCGAAGGCCCCAGTACCCGCGCCCGCATGCGTCACCCACACCCAATTCGGCACACCCCTCACACGTTTCGTGGCTCCATAGGGAGCTCCACTGAAGGCCCCAGTGCCCACCGCATGCGTCACCCACACCCATTTCGGCACACCCCTCACACGTTTCGTTGCTCCATAGGGAGCTCCACCGAAGGCCCCAATGCCCGCGCCCGCATGCGTCACCCACACCCATTTCGGCACACCCCTCACACGTTTCGTGGCTCCATAGGGAGCTCCACCGAAGGCCCCAGTGCCCGCGCCCGCATGCGTCACCCACACCCATTTCGGCACACCCCTCACACGTTTCGTGGCTCCATAGGGAGCTCCACCGAAGGCCCCAGTGCCCGCGCCGCATGCGTCACCCACACCCATTTCGGCACACCCCTCACACGTTTCGTGGCTCCATAGGGAGCTCCACCGAAGGCCCCAGTGCCCGCGCCCGCATGCGTCACCCACACCCATTTCGGCACACCCCTCACACGTTTCGTGGCTCCATAGGGAGCTCCACCGAAGGCCCCAGTGCCCGCGCCCGCATGCGTCACCCACACCCATTTCGGCACACCCCTCACACGTTTCGTGGCTCCATAGGGAGCTCCACCGAAGGCCCCAGTGCCCGCGCCCGCATGCGTCACCCACACCCATTTCGGCACACCCCTCACACGTTTCGTGGCTCCATAGGGAGCTCCACCGAAGGCCCCAGTGCCCGCGCCCGCATGCGTCACCCACACCCATTTCGGCACACCCCTCACACGTTTCGTGGCTCCATAGGGAGCTCCACCGAAGGCCCCAGTGCCCGCGCCCGCATGCGTCACCCACACCCATTTCGGCACACCCCTCACACGTTTCGTGGCTCCATAGGGAGCTCCACCGAAGGCCCCAGTGCCCGCGCCCGCATGCGTCACCCACACCCATTTCGGCACACCCCTCACACGTTTCGTGGCTCCATAGGGAGCTCCACCGAAGGCCCCAGTGCCCGCGCCCGCATGCGTCACCCACACCCATTTCGGCACACCCCTCACACGTTTCGTGGCTCCATAGGGAGCTCCACCGAAGGCCCCAGTGCCCGCGCCCGCATGCGTCACCCACACCCATTTCGGCACACCCCTCACACGTTTCGTGGCTCCATAGGGAGCTCCACCGAAGGCCCCAGTGCCCGCGCCCGCATGCGTCACCCACACCCATTTCGGCACACCCCTCACACGTTTCGTGGCTCCATAGGGAGCTCCACCGAAGGCCCCAGTGCCCGCGCCCGCATGCGTCACCCACACCCATTTCGGCACACCCCTCACACGTTTCGTGGCTCCATAGGGAGCTCCACCGAAGGCCCCAGTGCCCGCGCCCGCATGCGTCACCCACACCCATTTCGGCACACCCCTCACACGTTTCGTGGCCCCATAGGGAGCTCCACCGAAGGCCCCAGTGCCCGCGCCCGCATGCGTCACCCACACCCATTTCGGCACACCCCTCACACGTTTCGTGGCTCCATAGGGAGCTCCACCGAAGGCCCCAGTGCCCGCGCCCGCATGCGTCAGCCACACCCATTCCGGCACACCCCTCACACGCTTCGTGGCCCCATAGGGAGCTCCACCGAAGGCCCCAATGCCCGCGCCCGCATGCGTCACCCACACCCATTTCGGCACACCCCTCACACGCGTTCCGTGGCCCCATAGGGAGCTCCGCCGAAGGTCCCAGTGGGTGTGCCCGCATGCGTCCCGCACACCCATTTCGGCACACCCCTCACACGTTTCGTGGCTGCATAGGGAGCTCCACCGGAGGCCCCAGTGGGTGTGCCCGCATGCGTCCCGCACACCCATTTCGGCACACCCCTCGTACGTCTTGTGGCCCCGTATGGGGCTCCTCCGAGAAGATATCTACAATTGCAGTATTCACAATTGCATATGGCTGGGTCCTTCGCCTGGATAATTTTGTTTCTCTAGTCTAGGTCATTTGCGGGGGCGAGACTGTATTCGCGCTTGCCGCATCGTGGTTCGGGCCGTCTAGCTGCCTTCCTCCACTGTGGCTTCGTGACAGCGCGAAGACGTGTCTGAACGACAGTTAGTAAAGCGTCCGTCTGCCACAGGAGATCTAAAATCTGATCCCCTCCGGCACCGGGCTGGGGCT